ATCTCATCACCATCTGAGTGAGCTTTTGGGGAGAATCTACTACTCTCTGAGCAGTTTAATGGACATTATATATATTTTTTTTTTTTTTTTTTTGCCGGGAACTCCCCTACTAGAATATATGTGCTCTGTGATGTCAAGAACCTTTTGGTCTGGTTTACCTTTGTTTCCTCTGTGCTCAGAATAGTCAGTGCTCTGTAATGGCTGGTGGAATACACACCTGGTGGGATGTCAGGAGGGGTGACGTCAAGCCTGCTCAGTTAACCACGTGGTGTGGTGCAGTGTTCTAGGTTTGTGTGAACCAGTGACGTAGTTCTCTGGCAGAAGGAAACAGGAAGTCCGCGGTCATGGTGCACAGTGACCGCCGACGTGCCGTGTAGGCCCCCGGGCCTGGGACTATGGATACCAGGACGTGCTTAATGAAAGCTTTCGTCATTTAATAATGATGGTGGCAATCGCTTCAATAGATTGAGTGCTCAGTACATGTCAGGCACTTCACAGATGGGGGACGGAGCTCGGCAAGGTCACGTAGCTCGGTCAGGGGTATGCTCTTGGCGGTGGTGGGGTTGCACGCAGACTTGGTGAGTTGGCCTCCGGAGTCCGGCTGCGCTGCTGACCTCCAGCTCTTGTACTCGTGGGCCAGTGGGGACACTTTGGAGCAAATTTGCACATTGTGTTTAAGTGCTTTCCAGAGCTACTCACAAGTCCATGGAAGACCAGGGCTCTGACTCGACCCATTTGCTTTTTCAGACAAACGAAGCAGGCATCTTGGTGCTGACGGCGTCTACTTGGATGACCTCACAGATATGGATCCTGAAGTGGCTGCCCTGTATTTTCCCAAAAAGTAAAATTTCTTTTTATTCCTCATATCATTTTCTGTGTTAATCTGTGTGAGTCTGGTTTTCCCCCCCTTATATTTGATTGGAAGGTGAGTAACAAAAGGGAGGCTCAGATTGTACTGTGAAAAGCTACCAGTAAATAATGGACTTTCTCTGGAGACACGTGTGTGGATATCTCTGTGTGGCTGGCTTCCCACCTTCTGAACAGGAATGCAGGCCCCAAGGCTGGCTGCCGGGGTGACACCACAGTCACGTCACGGGGGGCGGTGGCCCACAACCCCACTCAGTGGCCAAGAGGGGGCAGCTGCACAGCCCTCTCCCTCCCCAGGAGAGATTCTCCCGTGGCCCCGGAGGGTGGTAGCGAGATCCGTGGCCTCTGAGGACAGCGTGCTTTCCCTGCCGTTCATTTCACGTAGGCTTGGAAGGCGACACGGGGAGGACAATAGGCTAAAATAATTGCTTCTCTCCCAAGGTAGTTGGTTTCACTTGTCTGTCTTTGTCACGGTCCTGAGATGAGCTCTTTCACTACTCTGAGGGCCAGCACGTGGAGGGAGCCATTTGCTGTCTGTGATGTCAGAACATCTCCCCTCTTCCTTCTCCCAGCGGAGATCCTTCCGGACTCTCCAAACACGCCAGTGACAACGGGGCCCGGTCTGCCAACCAGTCCCCGCAGTCCGTGGGCAGCTCTGGCATCGACAGCGGTGTGGAGAGCACGTCGGACAGCCTGAGGGACCTGCCATCCATCGCCATCTCCCTGTGCGGGGGCCTCAGCGACAATCGGGAGATAACCAAAGGTACAGCCTGGGAGCCAGGCCCTGGAGCCCGTCTTCGGGCCACGAGCGCCCTCGTGTGGCCAGTGGCCAGAACGTCCGGAAGCCCGGGCTTCTCTAGTTCATGTCCAAAGTCGCTGTTCACTTGGCTGGGTTCGTGAGAGCACAAACAGCTCATTGCAGCTCACGGCCCAAATGCTGCTGGCCTGCAGGTGGCTGACCTGAGGGCTCTGTTCACACACGGCTTCGGGGCCACTTGTCGTCAGGCGTGTTTGCTGAGCATGATGTGCGTCTCCTTCCCTGTGCCTGTCCTGCAGAGGTGCCCTCTGGAGCCTGCAACCCAGTGGGAGTGTCTGTCAGGGTTATGGGGACACAGGGCACTGGAAGCGTCAGAAAGGCTGTGGGGTCTTGAGGAGGGAGGGACGTCTGAGTTTGAGCACGTTCAGGGGCCTTTGCCAGCTGGATCTCAAGGGTGCTCACAGGCTTGGCGTCGGTGGCGAGTTAATTTGCAGCGTCCATCAAATTCAGAACGATGGTTTCCCCAGTGTCTCGTGACAGCTACGTGGTGAGGTGGCCCCAAGACCCCCGATGGATGCATCAGCCATCACCAGCTGATGAATTCCTCGAGTGGCCTTAGTGGCCCTGAGTCTCCCTCTACCATCCCTCCCACCTCCACTGTTCTCTCTTTTTCATCACGCTCCCCCCCGCCCCACAATGGTCTGTTTTTCTAGCCGGAAAGGGGTGAGGCTGTGCACTTCATCCCCTTGCCACTCGGGAGCCACTCTCTTCCCTTCCTGCCCTGAGCTGCCATCCTAGGCTCCTGTCTCTCCTGAAGCCCCGCAGGGCTTTGTGAAGTTCTTCTCGCACAAAAGCTGGGGCCCCTTGTTCTGGAACCTGAACCAGCTAATCCATCACCTGGTGCTGAACTGAACATTAAGTTGCTTAATGTGATCCAGCTGATTTAGTCCATCACAGGAGGTCTTTCTAAGCCCCCCACCCCTCTAACAACCAGCCACGTTGTTTCCAAATTTCTATCACCAACCACTCTGGGGCCTTGAAGAGGTGAGCACACTCTGTGGGCCAGGAAAAGGTGTGAGAAGGCTGGTGTGCAATGGCATCCCCTCTCCGGTACACTTGCACCCTGAGTGTCCTTTCACGGGGGTCCATACAGATGAGGCCAGATTCCCATGACCAGGAGCCCCTGAGGAGAGTACCTAGCGGTATGAATTAGGATTCCAAAGGTACATGCCATGGCCAGTCTGGGTTGGCGTCCTGACCAAGGGGTCTTTTTCTACTGGACATGTGTGACTCCCGGTGTCCAGGGTCTGCTGGGTCTTGGTTCCATTCAGGGTATATTGGACCCCCTTAGGGAAGGAGTGGGGACAAATTAGAGCCAGAGAGGTGGTCAGAACCCTCATCAAGGCTCCAGCCAGGGCCAGCTGAATGGGGGATGTCGAATGGAGGCCAGAGCTCGTTGCAGAAGCTAGAGTCAGGGCTAAGGTCCAGGGCCTCTGGCTCTGTGGCCTTCCTGCCTCCCGGAATGTGGTGGGGCTGGGTCAGGAGGCCAGGCCTCACGCTGTCTTCCGCACTTCCTACACGTGACGGTGACCAGCACCTCACCCACTGACATGGAGTGAGCCCTTGCTTTAGGCAGGACATTGTGCTTCCCAGCCTCATAGTCACCGAGGAAGCAGGCGTGGTTCTTAATCCCCACGTTATAGAGGAGGGAACTGAGGCTTGGGGAGATTAAGTACTGGCTCAACACAAGCTCACACCAATAAATGTGACTGAAACTGCGTGGCCTGGTTTCTGAATCTACTTACCAGTCACCTGCTTCTGTAGAGGCATAGGGAGACTGCATTTTCCACACACCTGCTCCCTGCCTCACTGCCTGGACATACGCTTGCCCCACGTCCTCGGACTGCCCCCAGCTGCCCTTCATTTCGGCACAGACACTGCCCCCAAACTAACTCAAGCCCCTTTACAAATACGTTTGAAGAATTGTCTATACAGCTGGAATGCATAGGCTCCCAGAAAACACTTGCGAATGAGTGAGGGAAACCTAAACCTATTTTTTTGAACAAAATATTCCTTCTATTTTCTCCTTGTTCCCTATGATTGCTTTCACAGATGCATTTCTGGAACAAGCCGTGTCGTATCAACAGTTTGTGGACAACCCGGCTCTCATTGATGACCCCAATCTTGTGGTGAAGATCGGGAATAAGTAGGTTCCTATTGAAAGTCATTTTGGCTGCCTCAGGGTACTGTTTGCATTTCAGTTTTTCAAAAGCAGAGACACACAGACAGTAAACCTTAGAAATATGTAAGATGAAGTCTTTGTTAAAATTTATTATTATCTCTTCACTCTTGGCAAAATACCGTGTTGTTATATAGTTGGTAGCTTGGTGTAACTGTCAATCGTGTGGGTTTTAATATTCATCTGTACTAGATTTTCTTAAAAAGATGTATTTATTTATTTTAGAGACAGAAAGAGAGCATGAGCAGGAAGGACAGAGGGAGAGGGAGACAGAGGACCTCAAGCAGACTCCCTGCTGAGCGCAGAGCCTGGTGTGGGGCTCGATCTCACAACCCTGAGATCACGACCTGAGCCGAAAGCAAGAGTGGGGCACTTAGCCGACTATGCCACCCAGGTGGCCCCGTGCTAGATTTTATAATGGAATGCATCCAGTCTCGGCCCTTGGCCTGTGAGCCTCAGGCCCACATTGTCCGTGGGCATCACAGCATAGACTGCTTGTCTACCCCGTGAAGGTTTCGGTGTCTGAGGTCAGGGGATGTGCAGGTGTTTTTGTAGACTGTCAGCAAACTTTTCTCCCTGAGAGGAAGTCAAGGGTGTTTAGGTATTAACTTGGGCTACCTAGTTGCCTTTTCCATGAAGTATGGCAAGAAATGCCTTCAGCACGTCAGTGGCTTGATGCGCCACGGAGCTCGGGCTCACCTCCAGCTGGCCGCGGGGGTCTCCCACCGCCTCTGTCGGTCTCTGCTTGGCCCCCGAGAGCGGCTGCTGTGGGGTCAGCAGGGTGAGGGGCAAATGGGGGAGGGCCGGGGTGTTGGCAACAGTATTGGGCTCATTAAGGACCCAGCCGGGGTTCCAGAGCTTTCCTTGACTGTTTCTCGTGACATTAGGAAGATTTTTCAGTCCGAGCCTTGGTCTTTGACATCTATGTCATTTTTCCACATCAGATACTATAACTGGACGACAGCAGCACCTCTGCTCCTGGCAATGCAGGCCTTCCAGAAACCTTTGCCAAAGGTGAGCTTGAACATGAGGCAGAAGAGGTGGCACTAAATACCATGGGCAGACTAATCTGGGTGGTTGGAATTTAACTTTTACTTTAGAACCACAATGTTAATTACATTACATTCTTTTGAAGTTCATGGTTATAGAGGTCAGGGGTTTGGAATCTGCCTCTCTTGCACCCTGAAGGTCCTTCCCCTTCCTGCTTATCAGGGCGAAACCTCCCAGTCCCGAGTCCTGCCTCTTCCGGGGCTCCTTTCCCACACCTGCTGTGCTAGGGACGTAGGTGGGGGCAGAGTGGGTAGATGCCCGGATGTCAGAGCCCAGGGGTGGCGAGGGGACGAGAGAGAAGGGCTGGAGCCGATGGCAGTGTGGGTGCAGGGAGACAGAGCATCAGATGTGAGCCAGGAAGCAAGCCCCGGGCCTCACTGGCCGAGGAGGGGAGAGCGCAGGGCCGGCAGTCCCTAGCCGCACGAGAGGGCAGGTGGTGGCCGCGGGAAGAGGCAGGGTTAGAAGGGCAGGCGGGCCGCTGTAGCCCCCCCCCGCCCCATGCTGTCGTGCTCCCCCGAGGTCTCCCCGGACACTCGGCCTCGAATTGTTCAGTTTTTCCACCTTCTATCTTCCTACTAGATTATACATTCTTTCTGCTGCAAAGACCACGTCTTAACCTTGTCTCCCTCATCCGCTCAGCAAGAGCTTCGTGCGGTTTGGATATTGTAGCCATCAGATAGTTGTGATATCCGAGGTTCTTGAAAGTCTGCTCTGACTTTGTTGGGCCCATGCTCACTCCTTCCTGCGCGTGTGCGTGTGCGCATGTGCGGGGGGGTGCGGGCCGGAGGGGGGGTGCGCGTGCGTGCTTGGATGTGCACGTACTTGTGTGGGTAGCGTTTGGGGTTTGGAGATTGTGACCTCCTCTGTGGTGGTACTTTATCTGAGGTCTTGTTTTCCTCCCTGGTTTTGTTTTGTCCGTGCTGGCTTCCCTGTCCCCTCATGGTATTCATGGCCCAGGATAAATTATTATGTTACATTTCTCAGCTCTTAACAAATCAAAGGAAAAAGACCAATGCAATAGAAATATCCTTTAACTTAAAGGGGTTTAGCTCACAAAAGACGTGTGCATGGCTCCTAAGCTGAGGCTTTGTGATATCCTTTACAAGCTGTCAGTAAGTCTTTGACTCTGCTTATGGTGTTTCTTAATGTAGAATTAGTTTTATATGTAGAATTTGTCCATCCTTTAAGGCTGTTGGGTCTTGTATCACACTTAGAATGGCCCTGCTTCCCCGTTTCTGAAACTTGTGAAAATATGCTCGCTTTCCCCCTGGTACTTTCTTTTTTTTCTTTTTTCTTTTTTGTATAGGTTCCCTGCCTAGCGTGCAGCCCAATGCGGGGCTTGAACTCACGATCCTGAGATCAAAACTTGAGCTGAGATCAAGAGTCAGATGCTTAACCCCCTGAGCCACCCAGGCGCTCTCCCCCAGTACTTTCTTAAATCTCTGATCTGTCTAGGTTTTATTTTGTGAGTGAGTGAGGTATCAGGAACCAAATCAGTTCTTTCCCAGCTGGTTACTGAATCATGATGCTTTGTAGGAAACAGAATGACTACGAGTAGCTTGAATAATAAGGGTTTATTATCTGACATAGTAAGAATCTTCGAGGTTGGTAGTTTCAGGGTTAGCTTCTCCGTGATTGTCTTGGCTTTCCCTTTATGATCACAAGGTGGCTGTCCCCCACATCATCCTCTCCAACAGCCACACCCCAAATAGGAAGGATGAGACAGACTTCTCACATTTCATTGGCCACAACTTGGTCACATGATCACCTCCAACTGGCAAAACAGTAGAATGAACGTGAATGGCGTAGATGAAGCGAGGTCCAAACATATTGCACCTGATTCCTAAACAGAGTTTTGGATGTGTTGGCAGGAAAGAAAGGGGATGATGTGCCCAGGGAGGCAAGTACCCGGGTCTGGCATCGCTACCTAATTATCTGAGTACCTTTTGTTAGATAACTCTTTTCCCCACTGATAGGCAGTTATAGCTACAGTGTGTATGCTATTTCTTCATGAATTTAGATTCATTTCTGGACTTTGTCTTCTGTTCCATGTATATGTTTACTCATGTACCAACATGCATTCGTATAATTACGATAGCTTTTCAATATATTTTAATATCTAGTAAGACTCATACCTACCTAATAATACTCTTCTGTCTGTGAGTTTTCTTGGCTATTTTTATTTGTTTTATAAATGAACTTTAGAATCGCTTTGTCTAGGTATGAAAATAATCCTAACTAGTTTTTTTTCTTTAACTGGGGTTTTGTTACATTTATGGATGAATTTAGGAGGAATAGGGTAATCGACATCTGTACGCGTTATCCTCTTTATGAATAGGTTACTCATGGTTTGCTTTTCCGTGTATTCAGTTTCTTTTGTATCAAGTAGGGACTTTTAAATGATAACAAGAAGCACAATAGGCGAAATATGTGAATTTTTTTATCCCTCACTTAACCTGAAGCCTGTTTGGTCAAAAGACGTAAATTGTTCTTTCGTTACTAGCGGGGGTGGGGGGGTGTCCGTTCCCTGATAGTTCTGTGAACCAAGGAAGGGAGAGGAGATACTGTTTACCTGGTGCTGGAATTTGCCTCAAGATAGATATTTTCTTCTTTGGAAATTTTCTTTTAGAAAATTACTAATTAATATTTAATCTTCCCCCATTAAACTTTGATTTCTTTAGGGCGTGAGTATGAGTTTTCTTTTTAATACTTGAGGTTTTGACCCAAATGCATTTACTAAGGTTCAGTTTGTCCCAATTTGGCGATTTACATTTACTAAAGAGATCCTGTACATTTTACTCTTTGTTTAAAACCATTTTACCCTCTACTCCATATTAATCATTTCATTTTTTTCTTTTATAATCATCACACTGAGAGTAACAGTAGTTTAACCAGTAAATCACTTTAATTTGAAAACCTCTGGTCTTAACTAATCACTAATGATTTTCAATGCTTTCTTTTTCTGTTGTTGTCGTGTTGTATTTTATTTGTTGTTTGTTTATTCCTTTAACATCTTCTTAAGTCTTCATGCTTAAGTTATCTTCATGTGGTTTTGGACGCCATTAGGTTTTGCTTCTCGAAAATTTTTAGTCCACAAATAGTATGTTGTGTTTTCTCTGATTTTTTTTTTTTTTAATCTTACTTTAATTTGCGCGTGTGTGTCTTTTGGTTTGATGTGCTAAGTTGATCTTTTTTTGGTTCCATTATTTATGTTACCATCCATTTAAAACAGGCCACTGTGGAATCTATCATGAGGGATAAGATGCCCAGAAAGGGAGGAAGATGGTGGTTTTCATGGAGGGGAAGAAATACCACAATCAAAGAGGTAAGCATGGAAAACAAAAGGGTGTTTCTACTTAGCTCAGCCAGTTTGGGGGTTTGTGTAGTGGAGTGTGTTTTCATGCTTGTATGTCAGAGAAATAAGCACAGGCCATAATACTGAGTTTTCACGAGCTAGCTCTGCGTTGAAGCAGGGAAAGGCATCCCAGAATGTAGGGAAGGTACAGAGGAAGGGGCGGTGTGGCTTCACCTCCCGACCCTGTTACCTGGCTGGGAGCCCATGGCCAAGTCACCGCCCCTCTGGAATTTCTTCATCTGTCGAAAGAAGGGATTCAATCCGATAGTTTAATTTTCTTTTTTAAGTTAAGTATCTTCTTGCTGCTTGTGAGTATAACTGTAATGAGGCAATACTTAGAGCGGTAGACTAATTCTCATCAGTCCTTTCACTTAAATGGTGTGTCTAAATATGCATGACTTTGGTGTCCCTTTATATAAATGCCTGTACTTTTTTCCAGGTCTCTGTCAGCCTCTTCACCTATTTCTTGAAGCACTTTCCTTGCTTGATTTCCATGCCCCTGTGTTCGCCTGGCATTCTTCCTCCCAAGGCTGGCCCCACTCTGGCTCTGCCCCCACAGGGGGGTCGTTGGGGGTTCTCCTAGGGTCTTATCTTCTGCTTGGACCGCCTACCTTTCCCTAGGCAACCCCACTCACCCATGTTTGATTTCCAAACCATTCTTTTGTATTTCCTGTCCGTTTATCAAGCAGCCAGCACTGTGGACATCTCCGTGTGAATACTTCAAGACACTGCAAACTGGGTCGTTTCCAAGATTGAACTCATGGTTTTCTCGTGACTTCTTCCTTTGTTGGACCATAGTCAGAAAATGGTGCCAGTGTCCCTCCATGGGCTAGACCCTTCCTTTTTCCTCATTTCTCACGTTCGGTTCATCACCACGCCCTATCAATTTACCATCTTGAATATTTCTCAGACGTATCCATCTCTCTCCGGTTCCACTGCCCCACATGTAGGCTAGCACCATCTGTCCCAGGATTGCTTCCTGTGGTCCACTGGTCTCTTCTTGCCCTGTCTTTTTCAGCCTCTATAATGTAGTTGCATTAGTTGATGTAGGATACTGGTCCCATTTATGTTATTCCTTCCTTAAAAGCTTTTGGGTTCCCAGGGCTCTCATAATTAGGACCAATATCCTTACCATGGTTCACCGTGTTCCTGTATCATAGCCCCTGCCTCCCTCTTCAGCCCTTTTCTGCCCTTCTACCCCTGCCCCCCTGTTTTAGCTTCACTGGCTGAATGTGCACTCTACCCCAGGACTTTTGCATATGCCGTTTCCTCTGCCTGGTGTTCCTAGGACCCCTTTACCACCCCCTTCACTTAATTAACTAGCGTCTCAAAAGACTCTTTCTCAGCAGATTAGCCTGGGCTGCCGTTCTCTGTTCTCATAGTCCTGCCCAGGACTGCGGGAAACGCTTTCATACATTTTTGTCAGGTTTGTAATCGTACACATATTAGTGTGACTATTTGATTAACATCTCTTTCTCCTCCACATCCTAAACTCCCAGGAAGGCAGAGACCATGTCTGGCTCTGATCCCTGAATATCCCTGGTGCCCATATTGGACACATAAGAGGGGTTTGGTGAACATTTGAGGGAATGCTGATTACTTTTGGCATATAGTGCAAGGAAACCCCAAGGACAGCAGTCAAGTTGGTTGTTATAATACTGACAGAAACCCCAGTGAGCTCAGTGTATTTATTCCATGAGTTCAAAGGGAAAAAGTCTGGTGGAAGGGTTTTATCAAGATAACGTCGTTCTTTCACATTTTCGTAGCGTATCCAAGTTTTACCGATTACCCCATTATCTTCAAGGGGTATAAACAAGTTAGACCAAACATATGCTTTACTTGAGGTGACTTAAAACATAAAGGGCCTTTCTAGTTCCCTTACTAGAGAGTAGAATGTTCTAGAATTTAGGCAGAGGGCTATTTCCTATTTCAAAGGCCTATTTATTGTAGGGTATTCACATTGTCACCAGTTTGAATTAAGGGGAATGCCAGCATGAAGGAACAGTTATGAAATTAAATATTTCTTAAAAAAACTGAAATACATTTATTTCAGATAGATATATATATTTGAACTTGTCTAATAAAGAATTGTTGATAGTGGTGGCTAAGTTACCTCAATACATAGATTAAAAATTACTGAGTATATTGTCACATCAATTATTTGTGTGCTTATAAAAAGCTAAAGAATGTTTGGAAATAGTTGGTGCTCATCCTGTGTTAAGATGGTCACACTGATATATTATTTATTTTGCTCGTTTTCTTTACTAACATTGAAAACATTAACCTACCTCCTGACCAGATGATCCCAAGTAATGGGATTTAATTGTACATCCTTTGTCCTTGGGTAGTTCTGTCTGATGACTTCCCATGAGGTCTGTGGGGCCGGTGGGTGTCTTCTCCTCCCTGGTCTGCTGCGGGCCAGGCTCTGTGTGTGTGTGTGTGTGTGTGTGTGTGTGTGTGTGTGTGCGTGCAGCTTCTCTGTGGTCCTCACAGCAGCATTAGGAGATGGATGTTATCCCCGCCCCTGCTTCATAGGTGAGGAGACAAGGCTCTGGAAGGTTCCAGGACTTGCCCAGATCTCACAGTTTCAGAGCTCTTTCCAGTACACTGAAGGAGCATTTTCTATTAAGAGTGTGTGGTGTTGAGAAAGAGAGAAGGCGTCCACGTTTTCCCAAGCAAAATATGGCGTGAAAATATTTTTGAGCATTTCTATCAGCAATTATAAGAAAATATTTTGAAAATATTCGGGTATCCAGGCAGCCCTTGATAAAGCATTTGCATAAGCTCCAGTGATTATGAAGTTTGGTTTGGTGCCACAAACACTTATGGAAAACAGACTCATTTCTGTCAAAAAAATTTTCTCAGCTTAATTGAACGCTTCCAAGCAAAGGAATGACTGGGACCTGCCATGCCTGGGGCATGTAACGCTGGGGACGGCATTGGGGGCCCTGCCCCGGGCTTAGGAGAGCCCGTTGTGGGACCCCGGCAGTGTCGTGCAGGTCCTTCTCTTTGGTACCCCGTGACTCTTTCTTGTCTCCTTCTCCAGGAAAGTAAGCCGGAGCAGTGCTTGGCTGGAAAGAGCCACAGCACCGGGGAACAGCCGTCGGCACTCAGCACGGCCACCAGGTACAGCGCCAGTCCACGTGGGCTGTTGCGGCCCCTTTCTGCGTCCCAGGGCATGGCACGTGCCTGTCGGGTGCTGATGGGGTTCACCGAATATACAGGCAGACCTGGCTTGCAGCCCTGGCTCTGCGTTTGCTCAACGACCTGGAGCCATTTACCTCATGTGGTTTCCCGTGATTGATCGAATGGAGGCAGTTGCCCCCTTGGACGTCTACCTGGCAGAGTAAACGCGAGGCTTCAGTGAGGTCACGGAACTGGAGTGCTGCTCAGGGTCTTGGTGTGTGATGGCCCCGGACAAACAGAATACAACGGCAGTTATGCTGCTGCTGCTGCTGACCATGACGACGACAAAAAGCGTTAACAGCAGCGTGGAAATGAGTTTCTTTCTGAAGGAAATTGCCTTTCTCTATGGTTTCAGTACTTACAGGGGCTTATGTTGATTCTTTTCTAAGTATTGATATGGATTCATATGAACTTGGCAACTGATCAATACTCTTAATGTTTTGTCTTCAGGTTAATCTGTTTGTATGGGATTTGAGGGTAACTCTGATCTGAGGGCAAAGCCTTCACGCACTAGTTATGATGCTAATAATGTATATTGTTGCTGAATGAGCTGATGTAGCACCTTTTACATATCACCTTACCTTTAGAGTATCCCTGTGCTTAAGCAAGCCAGGATTGCCTTCCTTATTTAGCTGGCAGAAAATACTAAGATGCATATCTTAATAATTTTTGTATCGTAGAGGCTAAGCCAATGCCTGACACATAGTGGGCACTTCATAAGTATTATTGAGCTATTACTGAATTGGTAAGTTTTTCCCAACACACTGTTGATTCATAGGAGAGGCAGGCTTAGAGCGCACGTCCTCAGCCTCCTGGCCATAGCTCTGCCTTGTCAGCTATTTTATTTCTAGAATCCTCTGCGGAAATAGAAACCCATAGAGGAGGAAGTAGGAAGAAATCTGGTTTCTTCATTGTTCTGTGTGTAGAAGAATGTGCAGGACCTTTTGAAGATGACTCCCTAAGAGGCCTCGCCAGCTCTCGGCTGGAGTATTACTGGGGGCACCCTTGCTGGTTCTCGTGGGGGGGGGGCCCTGGCACTGCTGGTTCCCATGGGACCCTCTGCCTCTCTACACTGGAGAGGGAAGTGGGGTTGACTTTTCAGTTTTTCGCCCTCCATCTCTGGCTCGTTCTCTGGAAAAGGGCTTTCAGGCATGATTTTCTGGATACCTTCCCAACCTGGAATGTTGAGTGTGACTTTGCGGGAGCTCGGTAGGGAGAAGGAGGATGTGTTCTAGACAGAGCGCAGGCTGCGGATGGGCTGTCCTGTGCGGGGACATGCACAGCAGGCGGGCTGGAAGCCAATGGACTGTTGGTGGGGTCGTCGTTCATGCCCACGAGTGGGCAGCAGGCTGTAGGCAGAAGGCTTGGGAGTCAGGCGGACCTGGTTTGGAATCCTGGCTTTGGGGAAACTGGTTTCCACATCTGAGCAGAGGAACAGGTGTGATGTTCATGTCCAGAGCAGCAGGGGAGGCAGCCCAGGAGAGAGGCAGCACCGTGGGGGGGACACAGGCAGAGGCCTTAGCCCACCTGTCCTGAGCGTTTAAACCAGCAGTTTAGCTGCACTGGAAACACCCTGCTGTCCTGGAATTCTTTTCAAGAACCCTGTCTGTCCTAGCCAAAATTTCCAAACACGAGAGGCAGCTTGAGCAGGACACAGAGCAGAGGCTTTGTCAGCTTTCTGTGTGAGCTTTGGTGAATTCGTCAGCCCCACGGTGTCTCCTCCTCCATCTGTAAAATGGGGCTAAGAATGGTACCAACCCCACGTATATCAGCTGATTTAATTCTCACGGCATCTTCACGAGAAAGGAGACCAGAATGCAAAACCCCACAGGGCCACACAGGAGGGGTGCTTCCGGCAGCTGCATGGGAGCAGTCAGGAGGCGGCTCTTGGGGGACCTGGCCCAAGGTTGAAAAGGCACAGAACGTGGGGCGCCTGGGTGGCTCAGTTAGTTAAGTGGCTGCCTCTAGATTTTGGCTCAGGTCATGATCTCAGGGTCCTGGGATCAAGCCCTGCATAGGACTCCGAGCTCAGCGGGACGCCTGCTTGAGATTCTCTCTCCCTCTCCTTCTGCCCCATCCCTTGTGTGCACACACTCTCTCTCTTTCTAGAATAAATAAATCAATCTTAAAAAAAAAAGGCATGGAAGGTGACAACAGCTGACAGTGCGACACACAGCGGCATCTGCTACTGGTTGGGCCTCTCCCCTTGCCAGCAGCCACGTGGAGGACCAGGGAGGACCCTGGGGGGCAAGGGGGTGGGGTGATGAGCAGCAAGACCCCAGGGCGGCTCCTCCTGAGCTGCGGCATCAGCCGGCGAGGTTCATTTGAAGCATCACCGATTTTCTTACCCTCTGATACGATCCTCTTCAAATGTTGGCACAGATGCTATTCCCAGCTAACTAGAAATCATCCAGGACTGTTCACTGTTGCGAGTTAGTCATGCCGCACTTATTAAACCTGGAAAGTGAAGCATTGACTCCTGCGAGAAGGAATTGAGATTTTGAAAGGTATTAACATAGAGTTCTTTGGAGAAATGGAAATCTTTTAATTTTTACTGGCATCTTAGACGCTGAGCCTCCCAATTGGATCCGTGCAGCCGACGGAGAGAAGGCGTTGGAGTGCTCTCCTAACTGACAGGCTTGATTGACAGAGCGGTCCCTGAAGTCTCCTAATTGAGCAAAATGCTTGTCACCACACAAATCATTAAAGTACTATTTGAAAAATGTGCACGGCGACAAGTGCTAAGTTAGATGTTGTTCACAGCTACTCTCTGAACACAGACTTTCAAGCGAGATGAGCCCTTTTGTTTGTTGGTTGCTTCTTGGCGGCGGCGTAAAGCGAGCACCAGCTCCCGAGCCCTCGCAAGCGTGGGGGCCGGGGCTTGGGCTCGGGCAGGGGGCCGGTTCTGTGCGGGGTGGCAGAGTCTTCAGATGCCGCATCCTTGCCCTAAGCTGGCTCTCCCAGCAGCCAAGTGTACGACTCCCGTTGCAGTGTTTGGGTCTGTTTTCCCTCAAACATGGCATGCTGCACGGGGTTGGTGGGTTTCTTTTTTTTTTTTTTTTTTTTTAAGCAGCAAATGGAAAGGAACAGCGATTCTGCCTTGCTTCCTCACCCTCTGAGCAGAGGCACACATCCGTGTGGTGTCATGAGAGCTTTGGTTCACATTTGGATCTCAGTTCGCTCCGGACTGGTTGGTCGGAGCAGAACCGTTTTCCCGATTCAGTGAGGGACCTGCAGCCTGGTCTCTCTCTGGGTTCCCGCCTGGGCACATGTCTGGCCGGGTCGGCTCCAGGACTATGTCTTCCCCAACGGGAAATCTGTGGGTCATAGGTTCAGAAGAACTGGGGCATTGTTCGCTAGAGTTGGGGGTTGGGGGACCGGAAAGTTCTGTTGCTTTGGAACATGTCATTGTCCAGACGAGCGAGAGGCCCCGAGAGGAATTCTCCGCTCATGAGGACTTCCGTGAGTGGGGCTCATGTCTCCCAGTCTGGCTCTTTCTGTCTGTTACCTGCCTGTACCCTGAGTGTGTTGGTGGGTGTGATGCGGTTTGCTCCTCTACATTTTGAGGTAAGGAAACCAGGGCAGGAAGGAGAGCAGTCTGTGAGGGTAACAGGCTGATTCCTGTGGGGTTCCAGCCTGGGCTTCTCAGGTTCTAACCCCCGGGCCGTTTTCACTGTACCTAGAAACACAGTGTCACGGGTTAGATTCATGTGCACGTAGCCTGGCCCTGCCATGTACCAAGCAGGACACTAGCCATCATGCTCTGTCCTTCTTCGTGGACACAGCGACCTGTCCCCATGGCTCATTCCCGACAGTCACTGTATCCTGATGATGGCCAAGTCTGCTTTCCCATCAGAGCACGTATCCTGCTGTGTTGTGATGGTTTAGACAAAGCGCCTGGGGAGAGCAGGGCCGGTCTGTCTGCCGTATCGACAGCGGCTGGCACAGCGCAACGAGCATGAAGTGGATGAGCTCCAGTCTGCCGGCCTGCAGCCCACAGTCTCCCTCTCGTGGGGCTGGGGCAGCAGGTGCTTAGGGAAGGGCCCCTCATTCTAGATGTGGAAAGAGGCCCGTCTCCTCTTAGAAATAGCAGAGAAGTGGGTGCTGTGTCACGGTGTCCTCCCTCATGTCTCCCTAGTTTGGGATGGTCCTGGATTGTAGGGACTGCTCTGGAAGGAACGCACGGGATGAGAAAGCAACAGGCTGCATGGGAAGCGGAAGGGAGGTGGGGGAGAATGGGAGGCTGGAGGAGGCCAGAGGACAAGGGGACTTGAGCATTGAGAGGTCAGAGCGCATTGAGATAAAAAGGTAAAATAGAGCTCCCACACGTGTCGGTCTTGCATAAAGGGATGTCCCGAGCAGCAAGCTTTGCAGGGAGGTGTGCACCTGAGGATGGGATGTGCCTGCTTGGGGCCGACTCAGCCCTTTCCACTCAGCCTTAACGAACACTTTGTAACTTTGTATAGTGGCAAGACATTTTTGAAGGTAATGGTCTCAGGGAGCAGAGCTGCTGCTGCTGGGTTGGGGATTAATGCTATAGCAGGATTTTGATTGAGGGAACAACCAATAGGCTTTATAAGAGCTGGTTAAAGAAAAAGAGCCTGCTTCCCACCTGCAACCCCCAGCCCTTCACCAAACGGAGAATTCTGGAAGAGTCGGGAGCATTGGCCCCGTGTGTTCTGCACAGGCAGATGACGTGCGTGGCCCTTGCCCGTGGGACAGCCTGCTCAGGGCTTCCGGAGGAGGACTGATACCTTCCTTGTCTTCACCTGGTGGGGAGTCCTACAGTTACTTAGTTTTTTGGAGATGGGTGTTTGGAGAGGTATAAACAGAACTGATCACTCAGGATGTGTAGAAATTTGGACTTCTTCTTGGCCTGCAGCCTTAGACCCGGAACAGAAGAGAATGTTTACGAGCATCCTCCTCGGGAGGAGGGAGCTTAACCCTGTTTATCAGGAAGAAGCAGCGTCTTGGTTTAAAATAGAGTGATGATAGCTAGGAAATAGGGAAGTGAATGAGGAGCGGCAGCCCCAGATAAATAATGCAGGAGGCATATGAATGGGAGTTAGTGAGCGTTCATTGATAAATGTAATGGCATATGGTAAATGACCACCCGAGAGACAGTACTCGGGAGAGACCCGATTGACTCTGTCATTGATTCCGGCCTAATGCATTTTTAATGGCTACCCAGATGCATTTCCTAATTGGTGATTACATCACTCTGTGTTCCAGAATAAAGCATGAATCATCCTCTAGTGATGAAGAGCACACAGCTGCCAAACCATCAAGTGCAAGCCACCTCCCTCTGTTGTCCAATGTCAGCTACAGGAAGACCCTTCGGCTCACTTCAGAGCAACTGGTGTGTGTCTCGTTCTTCCCTTGCTGTGTTCGCAGGCACTGGCCGTGGCGTGGCCACCCAGACTCAGCGGCTTGGTGGTCTGGGTGCCCCTCCTGCTCTCCAGCCCAGCCTCAGCCCCTGGCCAGGCCGACCCCACAGTCTCGCTTCCCCTTTGTCTTCCCCGATGTAGCCCTGGAGCTTTCAAGTGTCGGAGGAGGGCAGCCTGAGGAAGCTAATTTATCCTTAGATGTAAATGACTGATTGACCCGAATCTCACAGGCTCTTTCCATTTTTAGAGAGATGTTTGTCGACTCAAGGGCATCTCCTAAATTGGGGGAAATCAAACACTTGTGATGGGGTTTAGAGAGTTTCAGGTGGAAGGGGGCCATCCATCATGGTCACGGTGTCCTCTTCTGTGGGGGTGTACTATCAGTTTTAGTTAGACCCTTCTTTCCCCGGACCTTGTTCCCATGAACCGTCGGTGAGCAGGTATCCTCTCTCTTTTGCTTTTATCCTGAGAATGAGTGGGGGGCCAGGCTACGCTGTGATGGTGTTCATGGGAAAGGGTCAGGCCAGACCCCCACTTAACGCCACCAGCACGTCCCTCAGCCTGGCAGCCTCTGTGCAGTTGTGTGGCACGTGGCTCAGGCCAGCGATGCTGGGGGGCCCTGGAGTTAGGCAGCCAGCTGGCATGCACGAGAGGGCCCCCGCAATGAGATGCAAAACCGCCAAAAAGGTAATTTTGCTTTCCGGATCTGTTGTGAATTCTTTGGGTCTGCGGTTATTCAGGAAAACACGTTTCCACACTTGGCCTTGTCTCCCCCGTTGTGGCCCTTCATATTTATTCACCGAGTAGTAAGTGTGTCCTATTCTGAAGGTGAGATTCCTGTGGCAAGCCTCCCAGCCTGTCATCCAACCCTGCAGGAAGAGGGTGAGCTTGCCTTACGGGGGGGCCTATCGGGGGGGCCGGGCTCAGGTGGCCCAGATCCTGGGAAGAACCATCCTCATCTGTAGGCAGGAGTATAAAGCGGCCCAGGGCAGTGAGTTTACAAAATAGTACTAACCTAGCGTCTCATGGAATGGAATCCAAATAGCCCTCAGTCTGGGCCTTCCCCTCAAGTGGACACATGGCTCATCCTTTTCAGAAAAGCTTGAAGTTGAAGAACGGCCCCAACGACGTGGTGTTCAGCGTGACCACACAGTACCAAGGCACGTGTCGCTGCGAAGGCACCATCTATCTGTGGAACTGGGACGACAAAGTCATCATCTCAGACATCGATGGGACCATCACCAGGTACGTCCGGCCGCCTCAGGGGTCATGGGCGAGTTCACCTTCCTGTAGGGCCCCGGGGCCTGGATCCGGCATCTCCATTCTCTGTGGTGCCGTGGGGCTCATGCAGTTCCGTTTCTGGTGCAGCCGTGGAATCTTCGATCTTTGCCCTAAACAGCCGTAGTTGGGGTGTGGTGCTTGTTTCCCAGATGTTGCTCATGTGGATGCTTCCCAGGAGCATCTTTTCAGATGCCCTTTCCGCTTTGATTTAGCAAGTCACGGACTTGATGCGTGATCAGTGAGAAGGTGCCCTTTCGTGTGTTAACGTATCCCTCTGTGATCATTCTCCTCTGATTACTCTAGGTTTGCGCTTTCTCTCCAGCAAGTAAGTCATGGGTCTTGGTGGCATATTTTATGAGGTGTTTCTGGTACAGTGAATTGGAATGGGCTTTCTCCCCTGTTGTCATGCCCCTTTTATTCTATTTTTCTCATTTCTGTCTTTATTTAGATCAGATACTCTTGGCCACATTCTGCCCACCCTGGGCAAGGATTGGACCCACCAGGGCATCGCCAAGCTCTACCATAAAGTGAGCCAGTAAGTACCAGGCGCCTGCCCCCATCTCCCGTGTGCTGTTGGTGCGTGCATGACGCTCTGCCCGCGGAACCTTGACCTTGAACGTGGCTTGCAAGAGGAGTGCACCTCAGTCAAGCGGGGTCAGTGGGGGTGTGGAGGATTCTGAGGACACAGTGAGTGCTCATCCCGCCAACTCCCAAGTGTGAATTCAGTGCCAAGAGGCAAGAAAGGAAGTGATAGGAGGCTCCAAAATTGTTGGCCGAACACGGGTGGCGGCGTTAGGGGAGGGCTTGAGATTCAGTTCCTACTGAGGACCCATCTCCTCAGAGGAGGTGAGGTAATGGTCCTCTGATAGCTGCCCAGCCATGTAGTTTAGGCCGAAGAGGTGCAGATTCCAGGCAGGTTTTAGCTGCGGTGCTCATCTTGTCCGCCGGCCTGGGGGGGCCTCCGCTGTGTGGCCACAGCGCAGGACAGTGCCTGCTCTGTACCCTCCCACCGGCACGCCCAGGTGGGAGGGTAGATCTTAAACTGCTGTCCTGTGTCGGGCACGTGTTAACTTCACTTACTAGCTTTTCAAAATTACTATAAGAATTAATATCGTTAGTTCCCTCAGAAGTGGTGGGTCCGCATTCCCATAGTTGCTGACAGGAGGCAGGGCACCTTCAGCCCTGGTCTGTCTCTGAGGTCAGGGGCCGTCGGGGTCTCTCCCTCCCCACACTGGCTCGTCACTTTCTCCATCTTTGTGTGGACTAGAGTCTCCTCATCCGCAAAAACTCTCCCCCCAGTGCTTTCTGTTCTGCAGCCACTTGGGCTGGAAGGTGCCTCAGGCCAGCGCAGGACAGCCCCTCTTTTCCCTGGCTGAGGAAGGTGAGGAATTACATAGTGGAGGTCAGGCCGGAAAACCGGGCCCATGATTCCCAAGCTGACGTGCTCACCTCTGGCCCACGTAGGTGACAGTTGCGGGGCGGGGGCTGGGCACTCAGAGCTATGCCCGTGTTCTGTGAGCACCGATGAACGAAGCATACTTTCCTGCCGCTCGTTCATTCACTTACCCAGCATTTATTGAGTGCCTGTTGTGTGCTCAGCCCAGTGGCAGGTGCTTGGGATGTCACGAAGTGGACATGGCGTCTGGCCGCCCGGGCCTCGCGCTGCAGGGGGGGTGGGGTGGCTGGGACGGGGCCTCGTACCCTGTGGGACTGAGAGCGTCTGATCTCTTTGATGCCCCGCTCATTGGCTTGACCTCACTTTTCCAGATTTCCTCTTCAAAAAATTACAAAAGTAATACATGCTTCTTTAAAAAAATGAAGAGAAATAAGAAAAATGAGAGAGATTTGAGAGTAGAAAGGTTGTGTCTTCCTCTCGGCCCTGCCGCTAGGCTAGCCCACTCCCTGATGTGGAGCCGCCGTGAGCAGTTTGGTTCTGTCTCGGTGTCCTTAAAATCCATTTCCGCTCTCCCCACGCCCCGCCCCCCTGACACCCACGCACGCCTCCATGATTTAGTAATATGTCTTTCTGTTTCACTACGTGTAAGATTTACCTCATTCTCCAGTGTGGCACATGCTGTATAATATGGATAAACTGTACCGTATCTAACTAGTCCTCTGTTGATGCATGGAGGAGGGAGTTTCCAGTTTCTTCACTAGGTCCAAGACTGATGTCCTAAGCACTTACATAGAGTGTTCATCATGTATGATGAGCCTATAAATAAATAAAGAAGGCGCACACACGTAGGGAGGGACTGCTGTAAAGTGGATTCCCAGAAGTAGAATTGATGGTCAGAGGATGAACGCATTTGAACTTCTGATCAATAGAGCCAGATTGCCCTCTGCAAAGGTACACCCCGTCTGCAGTCTTGTGGATGGTGTGTGTGCTGGTCCCTTTCCCCACAGCCTCACCGTGGCTGACCTCTCTCTCGTTGAGAAGGATTAATCCACTGAGGAGCTGCCTGGACTTGCACGACACTGAAAATTGCATCTATTTTTAGTTGGAAGAAGCCCTCATGAGTCAGGATACCGAGAAGCTCACAGCCTGAATCATTTTGGGCTTTGGAACATAAATCTACTCCTTTTCTTACTGTACATTAAAAAAAGAAAAAGGGCACAGTTGCATTTTTTTTTTTTTTTTCCCAGAAAAGATATCTCTTTGGGAAGTAAAGTAGGGTAGCTTACCAGAGAACACCTGAACATTCTTGACTTTGACCAATGGGCATATGGGGAGTGAGGTCTGTCAGTGAGGGTCTGTGATGAGTGCAGAATACTTCCTGTATTTTCAGTTTGGTTGAAAGGAAGGAGCTTGACGTTTATTCATCCACTGAGTTTGGTGTGTGTCCTCAGTGCACCCAGACAGGCCAGTGACGGTCAGAGTTTCCGGAGCAATCGGCGCAAACACGGTTTGGCCATGGCCTTCAGGGGCCTGCACTGAGCGCCTCCAGGCGGAGGTGCAGGCTCCTTTCTCAGCCTTCTGCTAGGGTAGGCCCTTATCTCCCAACTTTCTCCCCAGACCTTCTTGCTGTAATCCAGGTCCACGCTTCGTTTTCCCATATTCCCACCTACACTCAAGCAATGGCTTCTGCCTGCCATGCCTGTACCTCTGATTTTTGCCTCAGCATTTTTCAGCTTGTGATGCCCAGTGCAGACGCCATAGTCCTCACCATGCCTTCCCAGGCCAGAGTTGGCAATCCCGGGCAGCTCTTACTTACCTCCTGACTGAGCTCTTTGTGGACGCCCAGGGCTCGGCCTGGCTTGCTGCGAGTGCTAGTGCAGGTGGGCTCACTGTGACGCTCCTGTGGCTGACTGTCGGTTCGAGGGAACCCCCATCCTGGCAGCGCCCCACGTGCTTCCTCCTCCAGGGCCCTGGGCGGCCGCCACAGGACAGGGGCAGGGACTCAGGACTGGTCAGGGTGTGGACTCCCTCTTCTCGTGAGTACAGGTCATTCTTTTCATGTCCTCCTGTGATTGCCCACAGGCCTAGGTAGAGGGAGCTTTAGCATGCTGGAGTACTAAGAACGTGATGCTGTTAACTTTAGGATTTGGGGACTGATCACTCTGTCTTCACCCTGCTTTTTCTGAACTTAGGCTGCACTTAAATTTTAGGCACCGCAGTATTTATGTAATGGAAAAACCAGTCTTGCAGATAGCCTCTTGCCTGAAAACAACAGAGAATGAGGGCAATTTTATTTATTTTTTTGCCAAATGTAATTACTTATTTGAATACAGTCAGCTGTGAGAAATTATCTTTAGGGCTGATTGTCACCTTGGTCATCGAGAGGGTAGAAAATAGCTTGCTTGGTTATTGATTAAAAAGAAGGGGTGCCTGGGTGGCTCAGTCGGTTAGGCGTCAGACTCTTGGTTTCAGCTCAGGTCATGATCTCAGGGTCGTGAGATCAAGCCCCGAGTCGGGCTCCGTGCTGAGCATGGAGCCTGCTTGAGATTCTCTCTCTCCCCCTGCCCCTCCCATGTCCTCACCTGCACTCTCTTGAAAAAAAAAACAAAACAAAACAAAAAACCAACGATAACAAATACCAGTGGAAGACATGAAACCCTCCCTCACGTTCAAATATGTTCAATAAGTACAAGGAAAGTAAAGGACTGTTTCCTAAAATATCTAGATCATTGAGCCAGTGGGTCAATGAGTTGCCCCCAAAAGTGGGGGCTAACTCTGGACAATAATTGCTCTGATTTTGCACCTTACTGGATGCATATTTTTTATATTGGTGTAACTAAAAATTGATGTGGGTGCGACAACGTGGCGACGACGAATGCTGTGGCCTGAAGAGGGCGCCGTGTGAAGCCAGGATGCTGAAAGCAGAAATCCTAATTAACAGACTCAGTAGGATCTCTTTTCTCCTGCCCATAGCGCTTGTGCTCTCCTCCACTCGAGGTCTTCTGAGGTGACTGGGGGGTCGGGGGGCCTGGGTTCTGAAGGTGACAGCCCTTAGCTCACCCTGCATGTGCAGACCTCGTCCCCACTCCCAGTTTTGGTTTCCTCATCTCTAAGATGGGAAAATTAGGCCTTGTGATCCCTGCCAGGCCCGAAGCTTGGTGCCGCGGGTCGCAGGCTTGCGGTCACCAGGCTGTGTGCTGTAGCGGGGTGAACTTTTCCAAGCCGGGCCTCTGGGAGAACCCCGGGACTGAGCAGACTCTGATTGCAAACCTGCGCACCAGGGGCTGTTGTGGGTGCTGTACGGGCTGCAGGCGCCCCTCTCCCAGGGAGCTCGGGGTCCTGTAGAAGCAGATAGCACCCCTGTAATGAGGCAGTGAGGGGGTCACGCGGTGAGATGCAGATTTCTCATACGGACGTGAGGGAGAAATTAATTCTGATCGGGGGGACGAGAACTCCAAGATGGTTTCAAGGAGAAGGGGGCGCTCGAGCTGGGCCTTGTTGGGCGAGCAGGGTTTCAAGAGAAGCACACTTGTCATGGGAGGTGGGGCTGAGAGCTGAGCCTGTGCGTGGTGAACATGAAAGGGGGGCTCCGGGCAGGGGGCCTTGGAGGCCGGGCTGAGCACAAGTCTGAGTTTGGCATAAAGCCTTCCATCCTTAAGGGAGCGGGTGATTTTCCTTCCTCTAGGCCTGAAAATGGGGCTACAGAGGTCCTTTTTTCTACAACAGTGCTCCCAACTGAGGGCGATTTTGGCCTCCAGGGACCCATGGCAATGTCTGGAGACGTTTCTGGTTGTCCCTCCTGGGGCGTGTCACGGACACCTAGCAGGTAGAGGCCAGGACTGCTGCCTAGATATCCCACAGTGTGGCATTGTTGGGGCTTCTGCTCTGCCCCCCAACAATTATTTATCCAGTCCAAGATGTCAGGAGTGGGGAAACTTCAGCCTAGAAGCTTATCTTGGCAAATAGCCCCAAAGATAATCTTTCCAAGCTACTTTAATATCGGCCTGGGCCAAGTGTTTTAAGAGAGATACAGAGGCTGGGACAGATGGAGAAACCATTAGTTTGAAGCCTGGACGTGGAATGTTCTTTCTTTTTGGCTCTGGTATTTCCCCAAGCCCTGTTGAAGTTGCTGAGATATGAGAGGGTAAGTGTGATCCGTGTGTGTGTTGTAGTCCACGTTTGCTGTCGAGGGTAGGTTTCCCCACGTGTTCTTCTCTTCCCGGAGGGCAGGGCTGGGCCGGCCGCAGGTGCATCCCGAGGCCAGCCTGGGCCCAGGGCGGGAGCGCCCGCTGGGGGTGCGTTGACAGGAGGAGCGCATCCTGCCCTTCTGAGTGCGGCGTCTTACCCCAAGCGGCTCACTTGAGAGTGAGCTTTGGTGACTTGGTGCCGTTGAGCATTTGATGGGATCACAGACGGCTTTCATGGGGGTGAAGGCTCTGCTACCAACAAGCGTTAACATCCCCCCTGCCCCACACTGGACGTCTTCAAGCTGATTTTCCAGCCAAGTTTAGTAACGGCCTTTGAACAAAGCAGAATACTTGCATGGTGAGAACAAGGAAGTGGCCTGATCAGACCATGAAATGTATTTGAAAATCAAGTTTTGAATAAAATTAGCATCTCAAGCCCCTGCAGGTGGCAGCTTTTAGGAACTTTGATGTGAAGAGCTATATACAGAGTGGGTTTTTTTTTTTTTTTTGAAGATTGCATTAATTAGACAGCTAAAATACAAAGATGTTTAATTAAAAAGGTTGCTTGATTTTCAGATGCATTTTTCAGATGCATCCCTGTATTCAAGCTGGTATTTCTGGATTCTCTTCGTCTTAAAACTTTTCCTGTTTCCTGGTTTTAAAGAATGTATTTATTAAGCAAGCGTAGAGAGGAGTTCCTTGACCAGCATAAAATATCCATGGTGGAACAATAAGCTGGGTTGGAAGTGGGTAGTTTGTATTTGCTCATGTAGCAAATATTTACTAAGTGTCTGTGACTTGCTGAGCACTGTTTTTGGCACTGGGGTTACAGCAAGGAATGACACAAAGTCCCTGCCCTCGGGGGGCTTATCGATTCATGAGAGATACTGTCAAACAAGGAACTATCCTCTAATATTAGTGATGAGTGCCATTAGGAAAAATAAAGCAGAGCAGAGATTCGGTGTCGGAGTGAGGGTAAGCGAAGGGTGTGTTTTATCAAATAGAGGGGCAAGGGAAGGGTCCTCTGGGGAGGTGATGTGAGGGGAAGGAGGGAGCGAGCCTGAAGTGTGGGGAGCAGTGTTCCAGGCGGGAGGAACAACACGTGCAGGTGCCCAGTGCAGGAATGAGCATGGTGCCTCGCGGGCCTGGCGGGGGCACCTTCTGGTAAGCGGCAGTGACAGAGTAGATAGGGTGGGAGGGAGGGGCGGGTACCAGGTCTCGCCAGCCCTGTAGGTCATGGCAAAGAATTTGGATTCTATCTGAGGGACATAACAAGATTCTGAAGGGTTTTGAGCATGATATGAGTGGGTTTTGAGTTTTCTTTCTGTGTGCACACTTGGTGTGGGGGGCCAGGAGCTGATCTAGGCTGCTGTGGGAGTAGAGGCAGGAGGCCCTGTCCCAGAGGTGTGCACGAGGACTGTGGCGGTGACAGGGGACTTGGGGGGTGGTTTGGGGTCCTTGGTGGGGTGGAATGAGGAGGCCTGCTGATGTGTGGGGGGCTAGGGGGGTGGTTCTGAGGAGAAGTAGAAACCCAGGTGGTCCTGAGGTTTGGCCTCACACCTGGGCCAGCGAGAGAGTGCCGCGTGCTGAGTGGGGAGGTCGCGGCAGGAGCGCCTGTGCATGTTTGGCTATGGGTGCATCACGTGGCGGGTACTGTCCTGTACCCCATGAGTAATGGGGGGTTTGCAGCTGCATGCATTGGCCTGGAGATTAAGAGAGGGGCCTGGACTGGAAGTATAAATTCAGGAGACAGCCATGTATAGATGGTGTTTAAAAATGTTGAGTGTGTTTTATTTAGTCCAATGTATGGAGACTATTACCATCTAAACATGTAATCAATGTAGAAATTCTTCATGGGATAGATCTTCTATTCTGTTTTTATAGTAAGCCTCTGAAACATGGTATGTATTTTATATTAACAGGACATCTCATTATGGACACTAAGCTTTCAATGGTTAAAAAACGTGAAATGGAGTCCTAATAAAGTAGTAAAGTTGTGTTTAATAGAAGAATAACCCTGTGATCTGTTTTTCACTCCCAACACTGCGGACACCCAACACATGGGGCTGTCACATGGAGCAATTCTGAAATTCTGTGTAGAGACCAACTGGGTGTCCAACAATTCAATTCAGGTCTGACCCCAACTACCCGGAGGTAGGGTAGACCCTACAGGTTAGGGGCTCAGGCCCACAAGACAGCTCCCATTTTAGACACCAGCTGCAAGTAGGAGGTCCCTGGCTTACCCCCACTTTTGCCCTACTTGGCTTCAAATCAGGGGTCCCCGCAACCCCTTGTCAGGTTTAATAATTTGCTATAATGGCTCACAGAACTTAGGTAAACACTCCGGTTTATTCTAAAGGATACAAATGAATAGCCAGATGAAGAGGTACATGAGGTGAGGTCTGGAAGGGTCTCCCCTCCATGGGGTTGGGGTGTGTCTCAGCACATGGATGCATTCACCTACCTCTCTGAACCCTGAACCCCATTATTTAGGGTTTTTGTGGAGGTTCATTATGTAGGCACGATCGATCAAATCATTGGCCATTGGTGATTGAGTTCAATCTCCAGCCCTTCTCCATTTCCCAGGATTTGTGTGTGTGGGGGTGGTGGTGGGGCTGAAAGTACCAACCCTCTGATTGCATGGTTGGTTCCTATGGCAACCAGCCCCGCTCTCCAAGGACCACCTCATTAGCATAAAATCAGGTTGGGGGGAGGGGCTTGTCTCAAATAATAAATGGCTTGTTGCTCAGGAAATTACAAGGGCTTAGAAGCTCTATGCTGGGATCCGAGATGAAGACCATGTACATCTGTATTATATCACAACATCACCAATATTGTAAACTGCTTTGGTTTGGACATGGCGTTTAAAGCCTTTGGGGAGTGGGTGTGATCCCCTAGGGAGCTAGGTGCTGAGGAGGACAGTGCCCCCAGGACCCCAGGATTGTGCACGTGGAGCCTGGTTGGAGACAGAGCCAGGGGACCTGTGTGGGAAGCCGAGGGACGGAGGTGTTCCAGAGGAAGGGGTGCTGCTGGGAAGTCTGTCCACATGAGAACTGTGGCATCGCAGGGGCCTACGGGGCCAGCGAGGCAGGGGAACGAGTCTGCTTGGAGCGGGTTCTCGGGGTGAGATGTGCAGTCAGTGCAGATACTCAGCCCTTTGAAGGAGTTTTGCTGCCAAGGGAACGGGGGGATGGGATTTGGCCTGGAGAGAGGGAAATCCTTCGGTGGGTACGGGCAGGTCGGCCAGTTGGCACGGAGCCTCAGTTTCCCTAGCAGTGAAGAGGAGGGAAAATACCTACCGGCATGAAATTCTCGAGAGGATTAAAGCAAGTGAGGGAAGCAAAAGTGCTTAGTAAGGGACCGTGAAATGCATCCAGGCTTCGTTCTCAATGCAAAAGAATATTTCTAGAATGTGGCCTTTGGCTGGGGAGGGAAGCTTGCAGCAGTGCCATTCTGTGTGAAACATTTGGGTTAGCGTTTGTGAATGCAGAACTGTTCTGTGGTGTGATGCCATGACACGTGAATGCTTTGTCTCTTTTTCAGAAATGGCTATAAGTTTCTCTACTGTTCTGCACGGGCCATCGGGATGGCAGACATGACGAGGGGCTACCTGCACTGGGTCAATGAGAGGGGCACGGTGCTGCCTCAGGGGCCCCTGCTGCTGAGCCCAAGCAGTCTCTTTTCGGCCTTGCACAGGTAGGACACTTGGCCCAGCCACCTCCTGCCCCAGAGCTGCGGGCGCCCCCAGGCCCCCTCGCCTCCTCCCTGGGAAGTGTTGGCGAGAAGAGCCTCTCAACTGCTCTGATGCAACCCATATCCCTGCCCCACAGTGGGCATCAGGAAGGTCACCCTAAAATGCAGGTCTGGCTCTGTCCCCCTGGCCTCACCCTTCATTAGCTCATCATGGCTCTCGGGATCAAGTCCAGATTCATTAGCTCGGCTCACGTGACTCTTCCTGACTTCCCCCTGCCCTCCTTTGCAGTTTTTAAAACTCAGTCACGCTGAACTGTCCCCGTTTTTCCAGAACAGTGTTTCTACTTCAAGCCCATGCACCTGCTGTCCTCCCTTTGAGGGTGGCTGCCCCACCGGTGTGGCCGGGCTGAGTCCTAATGACTCTGAGAGTCAACTTGCATTCCGTCTAATCGGGGACCTGGGCTGGGTTAAGTGGCCCCTCTACCTGCCACCACCACCTACTCCCAGAGGAGTTGTTCTTTCTGGGAGTTCTAGTCACACATTTTGTTGTTGTTTTTAAAGATTTTATTTATTTATTTGAGAGAGAGTGAGAGAGCAGGAGCAGAGGGGAGGGGCAGAGGGAGAGGGAGAAGCAGGCTCCCCGCTGAGCAGGGAGCCCAATGTGGGGTTCGATCCCAGGATCCCGGGATCATGACCTGAGCTGAAGGTAGACGCTTAACTTGCTGAGCCCCCTGGCGCCCCCCCACGATTTGGTTTACTGGTCCTCTGATGATCACTAGCCAATGTCTGATTACCCCCCTCCCTTCACCATCACAGCCTAATTCAGAGAAGTTGAGCCAAACTAAGTCTGGTCCCCTGGGGTGGGAGAGGAGAAGACAGGGCTTCCCTGTACCCTGAGGCCCAGGGCAGCTTCCCAGGCTGCTCTCAAAGCATCATCTATTGTGGTTATAACAGGATGTTGGTTCTGCCAAAGGCTGGTTCTAAGTATCAGATAGTTCTGTCTTCAAGACCCAGTGAGAGGCTCTGCCTCAATTTGAGGACCAGCTTAGCTGCTTCCTGCTGCTCACCATGCCGACAACAGAAAAATCCAGATGGACCCCAAGCACCATGTTGGTTCCTCTTGGGTGTTTTTCTTCAGCTCTGCAGATACCTTTTCCATCGCAGCTTTGTTTTGTGTGATTTGTAATTTGTTTCTTGTGGTAAAAGATCTCACACTGAAACTTGCGCATTCTGGGGAGGAAATTCAGGCAAACCTCTGGATGCCATAGTGTATTTTAAATCCCCAGAGTTGTCCTGACAGCGTAGGCCTCAGTAGAATCCAGATGGTAATGAAATGGGGTCCCTGATGTATGTTGACAGTTTGTAGCAAGCGACTCATTGTCACGTGTTAAGAACTGCAGATTTGCAAGGTGAGGCAAAACATTGGCATTATTACTTTAATACCCTACCACTAAATACACATTCAAGGCAATCTTTTTCATTTTTTTCTTATTTAAATAACCCTGTCCAAGATCTATCAAAAGTGATCGATCTTAGACAGTGAGGAATTATTAAACCAAACAAGGACACCTCCCAGTGTGTGTTCCCTCTTGGAGCTGGAGGGGCTCCTGACAGATATGGCCAACAGCCTGGTCCTTCTAGCACCACATTCTCGGCCCCAGCCATTCTCTGTGTCAGCCATCCTGCAGAGCTTCTAGAATTGATGGGCATGTCTGCCATGAGCCAGAATGACCTTCCCTAGCAAGATGCTTTCATTGGGTGCACTTCTGATGATACTGCCTGGGTCTCAACTGGAATGAAGGCAGATCCACACAGTGGGTGGAACACAGTTGGCCGGTGGGGACGGGGAGGCCCAGGCTCTGCTTGGCGACTGGCTGGTGGTGTGACCAGCCGGTGCCTCCCTGTCCTGAGTCTGTGTCCTCAGCTGCCGAATGCGAGGGTTGGATTAGACGATCTCCGGTGTCCCCTTTCAACCCTGAAATGCTATGATTCTAAGAAACATGTCATGTCAGAGAAGCTGAGGGAATCTGTTTCCCACACCTCATCTTTTGGTCCAGGAGCTTCTCCTTTTAAAGTGGAAATTGGCTTTGAGTTTTCGTTACCTGCCCTCTTGTGTTTCGGTGGCAGGGCAATTCAGATCGTTTTCACAAACCTCTGTGCGTACGGCGCACGTTGCTGATACGTGTGGCTCAGTCTCATGGCGGGTAGGGGGGCTCACTGACGACAGGCAACTCGCCTTTGCTAAGCCCCAAGACTAGGTTACTGGGCAGGTGTGAAATTCTGGAGTTTGGCAACAACGGAGGCTGGCCTCCAGCTCTGGGAAGGAAGAAGCTGTTTCACAAGTAGCCACGTTTTTCCCTTTGGGGTTTTCTGAGGTGCTCTGAGACTCGGATAAATGACATTTTGTTGTTTGCTGGAGTAAAATTACCTCAAGGGTGAGTTAGGACCAGGGACTATTTGCACATTCAGATCACCGAAGACCTAGGCTGTGCCAAGGAGCAATCTGGATGCTCACCTCAGTACTTGTCAGCAGTCCTCATTGCTTCCTCCCGGCGTACCTTACTGCCCACAAGGAGCCTTGCATGGATGGCACGGGGCCACAGGGCCACGGGTCGTCTCTTACTGGGTACTGCTTACCCGCTCTATATCATGCAGACATCCTTCTCCCCGCGTGCCACACACACACACTCGTGCCCAGGGAGTGTGCTTGAGTGTGTGTGTGTGTGTGTGTGTGAGCTAGAAATTGAGATTGAAGCAGGAGGCTGAATTTGGATGGTGTCCCCTGAGTGGATTGAAGTTTGAGACTCAATCATAGTCAGCCATAGGGTCCTGAGATACATAATGTAAAACCCTTTTAGTGTTACATTTAGGGAAGGCTCCGGAGTCCACGGAAGTCCCTGCAGAGCCAGGACCAGCCTTGGGGTCTTGTGACACTCAGGTTGATAGTCTACCACCACCACCACCACCACCACCACCACCACCACCACCACCACCATCATCATCATCATCATCTAAATTACATTTTGAGTAGGTACAGAAGAATATTTCTAAAATACATGTGAGGTGTAAATGATAATCAAATAGTGAACAGCAGTGTACCCACCATCCAGCTAAAGCAAAAGGTCCTAGACCCTCCCATCCCTCCCCACCGAGTAGTGACGGTAGCCACTCTCCCTGAATCTCGTGTTAATCATTCCCTGCTTTTTAGAAGAGTTCTATCGCATATATTTGTGATCCTGACCAATATGCTTAAATGTGCGCATGTGTGGCCTTTATGTAAACATATCATATGTTCTTCTGGAACTTGCTTTTCTCGCTCAACATTATGTTCCCATGACTGTTGAGTAGAGTTGTGACTCATTGCTTTTACTTCTGTGTGGTATCCTGTTGTAGGACGACCACAGTTTATCCATCCTACTACTGATGGATACTTGGGTCATTTCCAGGATTTTACCATTAAAAGCAGTGTTTCTTGTGTGTCTGCACTGGGGAACACGGGCGCTAGGTGCTCCAAGGTACACACTTAGGATTGGAATTGCTGGCCATAGAGGATGCACATATTTAGCATTATTAGGTCATTCCGAACTGTTTTCCAAAGTAGTTGAACCAATTTATGCACTGACAGTGGGGTATAAGCACTCCCCTTGTTCTGCTTTCTTGCCAACACATTGTCAGCCATTTACATTTTTGCTAGTCCGGTGGGTGTGAAATGTCTCTCTTCGTACGTTTATGGGCCATTTGGGCTTCATCTTCTGTGAAATGCCTGCTCAAGTGTTTTCCCAATTTTCTTTTTGATTTGTGTGTGATGGATTCTATATATGTAGCCTTTCTTTTGAGTGTTGCAAAGAGCCTTCCCCAGTTTATGGCTTGTGATGAACATAAATTCTTCTTTTCATGTGCTCGAACATATCATTTCCCCTGTAGTTTGTGCTATTTGTGTATTAAAAACAGCTTCGCTGGCTGTGGGCAGGAAGAGGGGCTCCTATGATTTTATCCAAAGGTGTTGCCTTTCATATTTAAGTGTGTAATCCACCAGGAATTGATTGTTGCATATTAAGTGCAGGAGAGGCCCATTTTCTCTCTTTTTTTGGTTTCCCTTCTAGGGTTGTTCAGTTGTACCACCATCATTTGCTGACATTATGGCCCATTTCCTCCTGCTTTGAGTTGTCATTGTGCTCATAAATCAAGTGTCCATAAATGTGTGATTTGGTTTCTGGCCTTTGCTCTTCTTGTGTAATTGTGATGATCAGGTTTTATGAAGACATACAGACAAAATCCTGTCGAGAGGTTGATTGAAATTACAATGAATCTGTGCATCAGTTTAAGGAGAGTCAGTATCTCCTTGTAATACCGAGTCTTCCAATTCACCTATATGGTGTATTTTTTCATTTCGGTCTTCCCTAATGTACTTCAGTAAAGCTTATAATTTTATCAATAAAAGTCTGGCACATCTTCTGTTAGGTTTATTCCTAGACGTTTAAAATTTTAAATTTCTGTTTACGGAATTACATTTTTACCAGTTTGTTTCTTCTGATGCATGAAAGTGCAGTTGATTTTTGTACACTAATTTTTTTACACTGATTTTATAGCCAGCAATCTTATTGATCTCTTATTAATGATGATTATTCATCTGTAGATTCTTTTTTTTAATGTATTTTTGTGTGTGTGTGAATAGTGACAGTTTTCTCTCCTTCCTTTCCAATTCTCGTAACTAGGTTTTCCTTCCGTCACCGTGCCGGCTACACAGTGTTGGGTTGAAGTGGTGGTAACGGCCACCTGTTGTTTCACTGTTAACTGGGTGTTGTGGGTTTGGAGTATGCCCTGCTATTCCGAGTTTAAGATTTTTCATCTTGATGCGATGTTGAATTGTACCAAACATCCTGTCTATGTCTATTAATATGGTATGTTTTCTCCTCCTTCAGTCTGTTAATGGGTTAGACTACATTCATTGGTTTAAAGTATTGACTTACTCTTGCATTCCTGGAATAATACTTTTGTGCTTTGCTGCTGCAGTCAGTTTGCATATGCCTATTTATTTAGGATGTTTGCACTGACATTCATGAATGAGATTGGCCCACACTTTGCTCATGCTTTTCTTCTCTCAGTTTTGTTTTTGAGGCTACGTTAGCCTCATAAAACGAGTTTGGAGATGTTCTCTCTTCTCCTACGTCTGGAATTCTTTGTTCCTTGGATGACTGGTGGAGGTCTTTAGTAAAATCATTTGTCCTTAGCATTTTCTTTGTGGGCAGACTTGAAAGTATGGATTCACCCTCTGTAAATTTAGAAATAGTTTGATGCTAATGAAGCTTCTTCTCTCAAACTGATCCATTATTTATTTATTTGTTTTAACAGAGAAGTGATTGAGAAGAAGCCAGAGAAGTTTAAAGTCCAGTGTTTGACAGACATCAAAAACCTGTTTTTTCCCAACACAGAACCCTTTTATGCTGCTTTTGGAAACCGACCGGCTGTAAGTAGTAGATTGGGTATATAAAAGAGCTCTTGAAATTACCGCCTTTTCTGACAGCAGTCATCCGAAAGGTGGGTCTCGACTGCATGGGGAGTCAGATTCCCCTCCCACTAGACACAGCTGTAAGGAGATTTTCAGTTATCTCATGGCCTCTAGTTTTCTTTGAAGATTGGCTGGTGGGTTTCAGTCTTAAGCTTGAAATGTGGGACCAGAAACTTCAAATTCCAAATCACTTGCCAGTTTAGTACAACAAGAACAAAAGGATTAGACTCTTTCTACCAGAAGCGAACCGCAAAGCCAGGCCTTAGCACCACGGTGAAATTTGGCATCGCAAGTTTTCAGAACATTGTTGCATATGGTAAAAGAAATGCTTTGAGATTTTATGTGCACTACCCAAATTTGTGGGAGAGTTTAGCATTCTGGATAATATAGTTGGGCGCTAACTTCCCAGTAAGAAAATTCCCCTTTTGAAACTCATGCCTGAGAAAATGGGTCAGAGAATAGCCTCAAGGGGTGTAAGAATTGCAGGGGGATGTGGTAGGTTGTTTACTCATTAGCTCAGCTCTTGAACGGATGAGCGCACGAAGGCCCTGAGGGGGAAACGGATTTAATAATTTCACATCCAGACATACTTTTTTCTCTGCACTACTTGGAAGTAGAGTTCTGGTTAATGAAAACTTTATAATATTGCATCAAATCTGAAATATCCCATATTTGTGTTTATAATGCGCTTTTTTCCCCCTAATTTATACTTTCCCAAATACAGGATGTGTATTCGTATAAGCAAGTAGGAGTGTCTTTGAACAGAATATTTACTGTCAATCCCAAAGGAGAACTTGTACAGGAACACGCAAAGACCAACATCTCCTCGTGAGTACCGTGCGCGTTCTGTGGGATTGCTGTGTCCTCATGTTGTTAGAGTCTTGGTCTTGGAAAGATGTTTTACAGTTTACACACTGCCTTTTTGTCCTTTGTTGCCTATACTTTCATCTTTAATTCCTACAAAGGAAACATAGTTTAACTCCTGGTAGTTTGTCCAAAACTTAACTTTTGGACAATCTGCATTAAATCAGGCCCCACTCTGAGTCAACAGTTTAAACCAGTGGTTAGGTTCTGCTACTGAGTGGAATTGAATGAATTTCAAAACTAGTGGTTTAGATTTGCCAAGTGAGGACTGAAAGCCTAGCGTGCAAATTGGAAATGTAATCGAATTGAAATATCATGTGAAGCTGTGTTTACGGATGAGAAACTCTGTGTGCCTTCACACCCTGACCTGCCACACTGCTCTCACCAGAAATTGTCAGAATTCCTCTCATACTTGTGGTCGGAGCCGAGGCTCCCTGGGCAGTGGGCTGAATTGGGCTCCTGTCTGGAATGAGGCAGCCTGGCCGGCTGTAGAATCTCCCTTGACTTGGGGTGTGCTTCGCTCTGGGCTCCTAACTTGTGAGAGTGGAGAGCATTTTCTCAGGCCTTGTGTCGGTGAGCATTGCCCACCGGGCATTTTAGGTAGATGAGAGATTTAGGTTCCTCCTAGAGCCCATTTTCACTTCCAAGATGATCCTTATGCCCGTTCAAGCTTACTTTAGCCCAAATGGGGGTGGTGGTAGGCTGGAGGGGGCCCTGGGGCCCGCCCCACACGCCTCCTTCCCCCAGTCATGGCTGTTCCTAAGCAGTTCTCAAGATGCGCTGGGAGAGAGAGGAGGATGGAGCCAAGAGCCGCCTCCATCCTTCAGAACAGGAGGCAGTGCCGGGCCCCCTCCGGGCTGGCGGAACAACAGCAGGCACAGATTCCTTCCTCACCCCGGCCACGTTCAGAGTGGCCCCAACAGCATTGGGGGCACTGCTCTCCCGCATTCCCCAGCGCAGCACCCTCCCACGTGAAAGGGTTTCCTGGTCTGGGGAAGGTCGAAGAGATCTCTCTTCAGGGTCAGAAAGCACCTGAACTGATGAGACACTGCCCAGAAATGGCAGCAACCCGGTGGCAGGTCTGTCACAAGGGATGTGGCAGGAGGGGTCCTGGCCCCCGTGAGGGTTTACCCCGGAGCCCTCTGGGGTTATCCCATTCCTGAGACTCTGGGTTCAGGCGCCTCGGCCCGGGGTGGATCTCTGTGTGGGAGGAACTTGGCGCCTTGTCATCTCATGCGGGGCCAGGACACGAGGCCCTTCCTGGGGGGGGGGGAGTGCCCCTCCATCCCCTGGAGAGCACACGCTCTCTCTGGCACCAAACTTGGGTCGGTCATTTCGGATCCTGGGACACTGTGTCTGAGAAATCAGATGGATAGGAGTGCTGGGCAGACGGGGAGTGTCAGCACTCGCTACCGTGGTTTGTGACCGTCCGTGTGGGAGCTCTGTTTGCTCCCAAGGGCCTGTGTGTGAGAGGGGCGCAGATGGGGCCCGGCCGGCACCCAGAGCACTCAGCAGTTTGGATCTGGTGCCTGCCGCACACCCTGACGACGCGCCATGAACTGTTCCTCATGGGGAGGGGCCGCCTCCCACAGCCACAGAACTCAAACAAATAGGTCTTCAGGCCAGGAGGTATTTTAAAAATTTGTTTTAATCTCCAGGAAAGACGTAATTCTTGCTTGTTAGGGGAGATTTCCCCCATTCTGTGCAAGCACGATGTTCCTCATAAGCCCTTTGTGGGTCCTTTATTAAATACACACTGTCATCCTTAGTTAATAAGGTATTTGATGCCTCAGAACATGCTAATTCCTGGAGTTTGTTTCGAAAGCCTTTTTTGGTTTTCAGCAAATTGGAACTGGAGAAGGACCCCGTGGCTCTCAGGGAGGACTCTGGGGACATGTGGAGAGGCCTGGGCCTGTCAGAATTTCTGGTTGGAGGCGCCCAGAGGTCTGAAAATGCACGTTCAGTACAGCAACTTTCTTTTTGTAGTATAGGCCAAAGAGACTAAGACGCAACATCTTCTTGGGGAATACACAGAAAATGGAGGGAGAGAATATTGCGGGGAACGTCGAGAAACACCCATCTAGTCCAACTCCATATTCCATAAAGACGAAGGAAGGGCCTGAGGCCCAGAGAGGGCAAGACACTTGCCCAAGGTTACACAGCAAGCTTGGTGGGAGTGGATCCTAGGTCTCTTGTCCCTCGTGCTAGCTCAGGCTTCTTCCCTAAGGCTAATAATTAGCGAGGGTTAATGTTAATAATGGATGTTGAATAAATTCACTGAGCACCGAATATGAGTTATTTTATTGTCGCATACGTTGTTTTATTTAATTCTCATGGGGACACAGGGTCAGTTTTCTTTTCCTTTCCTTTCTAGTTGAGGAGATTGTGGTTTAGAAGGGATGAGGCCATTTGCCCAGGGTCACTCGGCTGATAAATGGCAGAGCTGAAGGTCAAGTCTGTGTCTCCTTAGCCCAAGGCCCAGGGTCATTTCCTTGCACAGTGGAGCAGTCTCTGAGGCTTTATCTGTGGTTCTTCCCCCCAGGATTGGACACCCGCTGTCACGCTGATTTCCTCCCGTCCCCCAACTCCCGCTTGTGCCCCTTCTTCGGTCTTTCAAGCCAAGTCAGGTTCCACCCGCCTCGCCCGTGGGGCCTTCTGTGAGTCCTAGTTGGCACATTCGTTGATTTCCTGTTAATTAGCGAGGAATCATTCTAGAACAACTGCCAGTGTGTTAAGCAGGGTGGTCTGTTCCCCTGGGCCATGGATCTCTCTTCCAGGCACAGCGCAGGGGACCTGGCCGGGGGTCCCTCGGAGGCAATGACGTTGTCCATTCTCCCTCCAGGTACGTGAGACTCTGTGAAGTGGTTGACCACGTTTTCCCATTGCTGAAAAGAAGCCATTCTTCAGACTTCCCCTGCTCAGATACCTTCAGTAATTTCACCTTTTGGAGAGAGCCACTGCCACCTTTTGAAAACCAGGATGTTCATTCTTCCTCAGCATAAAACGTTGCAAGCCACCTCCTGACATCATGTGAAGACCAGCACCCCCGATTAAAGGACAGGTTTTGGTAGCCACGGAGCAGGAGCTCGGGAGCCTGATGTGCGGTCATTTGCTTAAGAGCAGAGAAATCTGAGGGGCCTTTCTCTCCCTTCCCCGTGGCCCCCAGGGGTGGACTTTTCTAAGTGAAATACAAAGGGTGTACTTTATAGGCGAGGCGTCGGGTGCACTCAGAGCGGGAAGGCATCCCTCGGTGGTGGCTTCAAGCCAGTCGCCGCGCTGCCCCACCCCGTCCACTCTCGCGGTCCCTTACTGGTTCCCGGGGAGAGGTGGCTGCCAAGGGGTCCCCACCGATGACCGTTCGGTCGAGGCACGCCAGACGCGTGGGACTTTGGTAGAGGAGGGGCCCATTTCCATCCGTGGCAGTGTGTGCTGAGGGGCCCGAGACCTGCCTCTGTGGCTTGGCCTGGGGGTGTCTCCCCACAGTATTCACCGACGGGGCTGATGGTGAGGCCATAAATTCTTTAATTCCTTTGATTAAAGGTAACCTAGTTGGTATATTTCCCCCCATTTTTGTGGCCCAAGGCTGGAATATCTATGCCTTAATGCATCTGTGGCAGGCATTTTATTTAGAATGTGCTTTGTCTGCCTCTCTGTAACTTTGCAATGCCTTAAATTCAGATTATAGTAAGCATTCCTAGGGCAGCGCTTGGAATGATCTCCACACTCTGCCAGCCCCCTTCTCCAGCCACGTGGTGCTGTCAACGTGGGTTCGAACAGAACTCATGCCATGTGGTGGTGATGTTGATTTCTGTTGGGAGCTCTTGAAAGAAACTAGGTGGTTTTACGAAATTCGCTTCAAGACGTTATGTTCTTTGTAGATACTCTTATTTATTACTTTACTCTGATTGGGTTATTGTTATGAGCATTTTAGCCATAGTCTTTCTATTATAACTGTCATGAATACATTAAAACAATAGAGATGTTAGACTATCCAAAGAGCCTTATTCTGTATATCTCATAACACTGACCTTCTTTTGGAGCTTATGAGTAACGCTTTTTATTTTCCTTTGCTTTACCTGCTCGAGTTAAGGGCAAGTGGATAAGTAATAATTCGAGTGACATTCTTTACGTTGGCAGAAGATGATTCCTTTACTTGTTTATAAAATTGGCTTCTGGAGAGAACAATTTGAAAAGTGAAAGAACTATTTTGGTAAAAGATTTTGCTTTACTTTTTGAAGTATTATTTTTTTAAGGAGTGTTTTATTCCAATGATTGCAGATACTTTCCTATTTAAATCGCATTGTTAGAGTCAGAACCTGCAACAGTTGAATGAAATTTTACTCTTTCTGTGAAAGAAAATCTGGAGGTGTTGCCTTCATTCTAGCTGCTGGCCTCTGATAGCAAGGGGTGCCTTCACGGAACTGTCCGCCAGGCCCGACAGAGAACGGCAAACATGTGTGTGTCGTTGGTCACAGACTTGCCTAGAATCGGAACGCGCATGCACAGATTCCCTTTTGGAGGCATTAAAAATAATTAAAATTTGTTCTGCCTTAACTACTCTGGGCTTGTTCATTAGTGACCTTTAGAGGCTACGTTAAATTCTGTCATGAGGGTACTTCGGGGTGAACTTGAAGTGTTGTGAACTAAGCATAAGGTCACATGCCTGCAGAGGCTGACATAGTTTGTCCCCTGCACTGGGAAGGATCTGGCTTTGAGGAGGGGTGGTGTGTCCTACGTTGTGCCATCCTGCGTACCCTTCATCAGGACGACCAGCGGCAGTCACTCTCCATGTGGACATCGGAGAGCTTGCAACCCTGCGTTCCTAGTTTTGACGTACCTTACACCTCTGCACCGCTGCACTCCGAAACAGAGCATGCCTTCCAGGAGGTGACACGCCCGGTTGTGTGTCCCCTCCGGCGTGTGACCCCTGGAGGGGCTGTAACATTCACACCTTCCTTGTGGCTTCCGAAAATGAGATTTGTATGTGGCTGCACTCATGCATCTATCAGCTGGTTTTTCTGTATTTACACACTTATTACCCAGTAACCCTGTGGTCATGCTGCGTCTGGACCACACATTTCACAGTTGCCCTGTGGAGATGAGTCCCTCCACATGGCGTCATCGGATGATCATCTCGTGTGATGAGGGGAAATACACATACCTGGTACATGGACAAATGATTACACCTTCAAAGGGAAACTCCCTCTTCACTTCTAGGTTGAGATCACCACTTTAAATATATTTAATTTACAACACTTGATCTGTATTTGGGTATGCTGGCGCGATGATCCCAATCACTGTAAGCCCCACGGTGTCGTGCTGGCTGCAAAGCTAGAAAACATTGTAATAAAGGAGATGGATGAGCAATTTCTCTGGAAATCAGGCGTGTGAATTTTAAAGTTTTTTGGTAAGTTATTAAGTTGCTTTCTAGTGTGTGATATCAAACATTTTTATTCTTTACTCAAAAAATCCTTAAGGCTATGAACTGCTCAATATTTGGAATAAAAGAGCCAGTCTTCTCCTTTGGTGCAGTACTGACCCTCTGTAAGCATGGGGGAGGGGGGAGGAGGGGAGGCTGGGGGAGGCTGTGTCCAGGGCCCGTCCTTCCGGTGGGAATGACTTGAGAGCAGAGTGGGCTCAGTTAAGTGTGGTGCATGCAGGTTCCTCCAGGGCTTCGCCCATGATCGATGTGTCACACAAGCAGGCTCTGGTCTGGGTTCTTGAATGAGTTGGTCCGTCAGGTGCAGCTGCAAGAGGAGACACAGGAGAGGCTCAGGAAGCCGAGTTCATTATAGCTGAGTATAATGACATGGGAGGCACTTCATGCTTGCAGTGCCCTGTGGGGAAACACCAGGGTGGTCAGGAGGCAGAAGTGTCTGGAATGAGGTGAGAGCCTAGGCCAGAGACTTTCCTGGGCTTTCCAAAGGAGAGCCAGGACAGGACAGGGTGTCCAACTTGAATTATTTCCATGGCCTCCAAGCCGGGGGGGGGGGTGGTCCCTGGTGGGCCGGTGCCCAGCCCTGGGATGTTTAAGGCAGAGGAATGTTGGCTTCTGGGCGTGCAGACCAGACAGGAGGGCTGGCTCTGGATGGGTTGGTTGGCATGTTACTGGCGAGCCCCAGCTGGGCCCCTGGCTGCCTCTAGGAAGTGGCTAGCCAGTCTCTCCCCAGCCAAAAGGGCTCTCAGATGTCAAAACACTGTAATAATACACAGAAAATAAAAGTATAAACTGTGCAGTTTCCCTCGTCTCACATTCCCTGTCCTCAGCTTTTGGACTCTTCTCTGTGCTATAACTGACTCATTTCTCTTAAATTTTTATTTAAATTCTGTTTAGCATACAGTGTAGTATTAGTTTCAAAGGTGCAGTTTAGGGATTCAGCACTTAACCTGCGGCACTCGGTCAGCAAGTGCCTTCCTTCATCTGGGGGGCACCTGGCCAGCTCTCTTGCCTTTTTTTTTTTTTTAAAGATTTTATTTATTTGAGAGACAGAGAATGCGTGCGCACAGGAGCGGTGTGGGGGAGAGGCAGGGAGCGAGGGACAAGCAGACTCCAAGCTAAGCACAGAGCCTGATGCGGGGCTCGATCTCACCACCCGGAGACTATGACCTGAGCGGAAATCAAGAGTTGGGTGCTTAACCAACTGAGCCACCTAGGAGCCCCGCTCTCTTCATTTTGAATGAATCAGTCAAAACCCTTCGCTAGTTCGCACAGATGACTTGAAAACGGTCCTAATTCCTATTGATTTTGTGCCTCATTGGCATGCCGGAGACATCCTGTGGATTTACCTGCATCAGCCTAAGTGTTTTGGGATAAAAGTTTAAGAGTACGGGTCCCTAAATGCACAAAAGACGGCTATCCAGGGCCCCAGGCCGAGCTTCTCGCAAAGCCAGAGCTGAGCAGGCCATCTGGGCGTCTCAGAGTTAATGCTGCTGTATCTTGAAAACAAAACAAGCCCCTTCACGTAGCTGAACATCACAGATTTATTCCACCTCTGATTTCAGACTGTAGACTCTTTTCATCTGTAAAGTAAACATCAGCATGAGCTGGAGTCTTTGGGCTGGTGATCGCCGCCGTCCCCCCCTTGGCCGCTCCCCTCTCAGTGGTCTTACCAGGCTATGCTGTTTCCATTCGCTGCCGTAGGCGGCTCTCACACGCGTGCGGGATGGCTAGTTCAGCAGCTTGAATTTCCCCAGTGTCTCAGCTGTAATCACCTGAATATTTAAAATACTTTCTATGTTTGTCTTCGAAATTGACACAGCCAGCCGGATTCACCAGCCCTGTCACTGGAGCCCGGGGCACACGGACGGTGGGGCCGGTGCCCATGAGCGCTGGGCCTCAGAGCTCCCTTTCCCACAAAAGCGAATGGCGTGCGGCCCTGGTGCAGCCCTGGGACGTAGTCATGGTTGTGGAGGAAAGTTAAGCAGGCCTCATTAAAATGAAAAACGGAACTCCTTTGGAATCTGGATTTCCTGGTTGTAGCGGGAGCGTTGTTCTAAGCTGCTGTTCAGGAGAGCTGTGTCATGTCACCCATCACTCATCCCTCTTCCTCCCTTTGTACGTCTGTACTTTGTCTTCAGACGGGGGGTGGGGGGCTGGGTGGAGCGGGACTGCCCTGCTTCCACGGTCCTGGGGGCGGTGGGAGGGCATCCCGTCTCTGCACCAAACAGAAGTGCTCAAAATGCCCGTCGTGCCTCCCTCCTGCTTCTGATCCCTTTCCCCACTCCTGCTCCAGCCCGAAGCGGGGGAGCAGCCCTGCTGTGGCAGGAAGGCTTGGTGCCCAAAGGAAACCTGAATATGACCTGACTGAAGTGGCCCCTGGGAGCCAGCGGGCCCCAAATGGCCACCTGGGGGCACAATCAGTTTTGGTTTGGAGGCACAGCCTTTTTTTAAAAACATTGTCCGGGCTTGACAAAGGCCCCTCCCCGTAGTGCTTGTCTTGGAGACCAGCCAGGTGCGTTGAGGGCTGGTGGGGTGGGGGAGGAGTGCCCTACGGGGACTCTTTGGGCGCCAGAGTGCCTCCAGTGGGCACAGCCCACGGCCAGACATCACTAACCAGCTCAGAGGAGGGAACAGTTTGTGGGGTGATGGCTGTTCAGGTCGAAGAACCACTTAGATCTGTGGGTCTCAGAGCCTGCCGCTCCAGCACCGACCGGAAGCTTGTTAGAAATGCAAGTTCTTGGGCCCGACCCCAGACCCATGACCCGAGCTAATAT